CTTGCAGGAAGTGAGCCTTGCCAGCTGAAGCAGGGAACTGGCTAAGGCAGCTGCACCCTGGTCTGACCATCACAAAGCAAGAGACTCAGAGCTGGAAAGGCGAGGTTCACCGAGCCATTTATCTCCCCGCCCTTCAATTAACCCCATATGTGTTTATCAGCCAGGTTGGCACAATAAACTAACTACCTCAATGTCCCTCCCTGGAGAGTGGTCCCTCCTGTTAACATCTCCAAAATATGTAAGGCAAACTCTGCCCATTCGCATGTCTAAGGAGAATCATGGCTGTATTTTTTTTTCCAAGACAGTCCATGCTATCTGCAACATTTTACACCAACACCATAATTCAGAGGGATCAATTCGTTTTCAGTCTCCCTTCTTCAGTGCCCGACTTTGACTTGTCTGTAGAAAATACCATGGTTTGGGCCAGGTGCATCTTAATCCTCAAACTGATGTCTGCTTTTTAACACTTTAAAGAGATCTTTTGCAGCAAATTTCTGGACTGCAATTCCCATGGGTGTTGTTTGTGGCTCCAAGCAGATCCAAGTACAACCAGATCCTTGACAACTTCAATCTTTGCTCCATTTCATCGGATGTTGTTTAATGGACCAGTCATGAGGATTTTTGTTTTCCTGATGCTGAGGTGTAATCCATACTGAAAGTTACATTTAGTCAGTGCGCCATCGGAAAGTGCTCCAATTTCTCTTTGCTATCAGCAAGCAAGGTTGTGTCATATCACAGGTTGCTAACCAGTCTTCAAGCCAGATAACTCTGTTTCCTTAATATAGTCCAGCTTCTCCAATTATTTGCTCAATTTACAGGTTAATAACTATGGTGAAAGGATGCAGCCCTGACACACACCTTTCCTGTGTGTCTGAACACTCAGTATCTCCATGTTCTGTTTGAACAACTGCCTTTTGGGCTAAGTACCGTTTCCCTATGACCTGGCTGATATTTGAAATATTGGTAGCTTCCAGCGTCACAGAAACACAAAAGCCACCACAATGCAACAAACTGATGGCCAAGAGAGCCTTAAGTGCCAAGCTAAGAAACGTATACTTAGCTCTAAGGTATACCGAACCAACCACTCCCTGCCATCCAGTCCATTCTAACTCATAGTAACCCTGTAGGTCAGCATAGAATTGCCCCTGGGTTTCCAAGACTGTAACACTTTATGGGAATAGAAAGCCTCATCTTTCCTGGGAGGAGCAGCTGGTAGTTTTGAACTGCTGACCTTGAGTTTAACATACCAATGTGTAACCCACTACACACCACCAGGGGTCCGGTTTAAGATGTACAAATGGTTATAGATTTGTCCATAAGACTCTACATATTGTTACCTAATATTTATGTATGCTCTACCAAACTCCTATCTTAGGTATAATGCCTCACTGCTTACTGTTTCTACACACTGGTAGACATTCAATAAATATGTACGAATGAATGACTATTCATTCAGACCTCAGCATACTTATCGCTGGTCACAATGTTCATTTAATACATGCTGTTTCACCCGGAAAAGGTCCCTAGCCAAAAGATGCATCGATGGTCATTCTGTTTTCAAGATTTCTTGCCACCTCCTTTTTATTCCACTTCTTGGTAGATAAACAGTAAATTGATTTATAAGGTCCAAGAGATTTGAATAATAATTGCAATTATTTTTATTATTTTTAGCACTTTATAGTTTAAAAAATATTTTCTTAAATATAGTGGAATGTATTGTCAAACTTCCCCTACTCACCTGCCAAATAGAGATCTGGAATCCAAAAATGTAACCAGCTGCTCAAATAAATTGAATCATGAATTAAAAAAAAAAAAAGCATAGCCAAGCAGTACCAGGCTCGAGATAGCAAAGTATCAAATAATTCTCAGGAATGTAAGGCAGAGAAGACAAAGCTAATAATATCAAGTTAATGGGGGGAAAATAGCCTTCTCAGGGGTTAATTGCATTGTCTCTGAGGAAAAGAATTTACAACTAAGCGAAAAGAAGTTACCAGAATTGGAATCGCTACTTTTCACCCATCTGCAATATTGCTCACATTTGTGGAACCATGAAAAGAACTCAGGACTAAGCCTTTGAGGAAATGGTGCCTTTTTCTGGAGGGGAGAGGTATCTTTCCTGTGGGTTTAAAATGGGGAGGAAAACAGGAAAGAGACAGAACTCCAACGAAGGGAGCCTCTTCCCAGGACACCACTACATGTGGAAGCACCATCTCTTGAAGTGTGCCTCAGTTTCCTAGAGCTACTGTAATAGAAATATCGTGAGTGGATGGCTTTAAAACATAGAAATTTGCTTTTTGCATAGTGCAGATGGCTAAAACCCATAGTCATTGAGTTGATTCCAACTCATAACAACCGTATAAGGCAGAATGCCCCTGAGGGTTTCTGGGAACACAAAGCCTCATCTTTCTCCCATGGTGCCGCTGGTGAGTTTGAACTGCTGACGTTATGGCTAGTAGTCCAATTTATGACCCACTGTCTACCAGGGCTCCAATTCCAGAAGCTAAGTCCAAACTCCATGTCTGGCTCTATGGGAAATATCCTCCTTTGTTTCACCTTCTGCTGGCTCTTGAGTGCAATTCCAAATTATGAGAGCCCTGGTGGCTTAGTGGTTATACATTGGACTGTGATCTGCATGGTTGGTAGTTCAAAGCCACAAGCAGCTCCTTGGGAGAAAGACTGGGCTTTCTACTCCTGTAAACAGTCTCCGAAACCCATAGGAGGTCGCTAAGAAGTTGGCATTGACTGGATGGCAGTGAGTTCTGAGTTAGTGTGGTCAGAGTAGAACTAACTGTTCCCTACAGGTGTCAAGGCTGTGACATTTAGGAAGCAAATCACCAAGCCTGTCTTCCAAGGTGTCTCTGGGTGAGTTCAAACTACCAATCTTTTGGCTAATTAATAGGCAAGCGCTTAACCCTTTGTGCCACCCAGGGACCTTATTCAGCTTCTAATAGCAGGCAATCTTTGCAGTTCCTGGATTTGTGAGCCTTTCATTGTCAGATGAGTTGTATCTGCCTGCTATGTGGGGCTCTGTATCTAGTCTGCTCGTTTTATAACTCAGAAGTAATTAGATTTAGAATCCACCCTACTCCCATATGATCTAATTAACATCACAAAGAAAGCCCAGTTTCCAGACAGGATTTCATCCAAAGTCACAGTGGTTAGAGTCTAACAGTTTTAGAAGACACAATTTATTCCCTACAGGCTGTCAAGAGTGGGTTCAAGTTAATGGAATCTTTGTTCTTCCTGTTTGATAAACTTCTGAGATTTGCCTGACCTTGCAGTAGACAGTTGGTATTTTTCCAAATAATGATCTAAAAGGCTTGGGGGAGTCTGACTAGTGGATGACTGGGCCTGGCCTGCCCCTCTTCTTTGGAAATGTGAAAGGAAGCTGCCATCCCCAGGAGAAGCTTGGA